GTCCTAGGAATTCCCAAGACGGACATACATCCCCTAGAAATTCCCGATGAATATCCTCTTGAGATCCGCCCAGTCGCAGATGTTGTCAGACGGGAGGAATTCAATCCATGCTTGAACATGCTCCCCAACACAGATGGGGAGGTATTGAATAATGAAATGGTCATCATCCACTCCTTCGGCTCGGTAGGCGAGCCGAAAGTCTTTGAGCCATATACCGGGATTTGTTTCCCCGGTGTATTTGGTGATGTTGGTAGGCAGTCAGAAGCGCTGTGGGAACAGAGCTTTCTGGACGCGACGGCCAAAGGCCTGTGGTCCCGGGCCATTTGGGCTAGGACTCCGGTCGTTCGATCGGCGACCATGCCTAGGGAGTGTTTCCTCGCTCCCCGTGATGGTCCGACCGGGGCCCGTACCGCCTGCTCTCACCGCCCCTTGATGGACGTCATCATCATGCCAGGCTTGACACAGGTTGTTGATAACGCTGTGAGCATCTCGGTTCGGCCCGAGGCATTCACGCACAGGTGGTCAGTGTGGTGCGGGTGCCGAGTCTGGCCGTGGTGCAGCTGTGGCCTCCTGTTCCACGCCCGGCGACTGTAGTGGTGAGCGAATGGAGCGATTCAACTGGTGTGCCCCCATTCCCCCGGTGGGGAGAGAGGCCACGAGTCGGTGTCACGACGCAAAGCTCTCCGCTTGTTGAACGGCAGCAGTTTCCACCAGCGCCCTAAGGTTCCGGTGGACCGCCTGCTCCTGGGGGTCGACAGGCTCTGGAAGGCCGCGTAGAAGCATCACCGCTGTGGTGATGTTCTGGCCAGCCCGAGTGAACTATGGGGGATCGTTCCCCCCGTACATGATGTTGTAGAAACTCCGCTACCATTGGCTGCTGTCCCGGAGCGTCCGCCATAGCGCACTCCCGGGACAGAGGGTGGCTAGGTGCCATAACGTCGCTGATGCTGGAGCCGTCGCATTCAACCTCGTCATCCATGAGATCGTGGAAAGAGGCAGGAGCATAGCCCGCCATCCCCATGAATTCGGATGTGAGAGGGAGCGGCGTCTGCATCTTTTGGAGCCCTCATGCGTAAGCGTCCACGAGGGATGCGAGGCCGTAGGGGAACCGTTTGCATGGCGGTCGCGGTGGGGACAACGGGGTCCCTTCGGAGAGTCGGCGGAAGATATTAAATAGCGAGTAAAGAATAATATGTACGTTACTCACAGTGGGGTGTGAGCCCAGGATGGGCTCAGAGCGAAGTGCAGGTGTCTCGTCATTGAGGTCGCTGGGTGGCCCGGAGCTGACTGAGGGCGCTCCTCCTCCGACGGGCGCCGGGACAAGTGCCTCCTCGTGAAGGCGAAGCACGCCGAGCTGGTCGGCAATGAAGTCCAGGCTTCCGAAGAGGAAGGTCTAGGACGGCTCGAAGACGGGAGGAACCCACATCCTAGCAGGTGGGATCGTGGGAAACTCCAGCGAGCCGAAGTGAATCGTATCGCGTGAGCCTGTCATGACGAAGATGGCGGAAAGGTGGGCTATCCGATGATCAAAAGCGTGAATGTACGGCGTTCTCCCCACGGACGGTGCCAACTATCGGTGCGAAAAGTGACCAACAAGTAAATATTTGTCGTTTTGCCATACGTTGTGATCGGATGTGGCCTAGCACTCAATGACACAGGGTTTATACTGGTTCAGGCAACTTGCCCTACGTCCAGTTTGAGTCGATCGGTGACTTTATTCCTGAGCCCAGGTGCTCGAAGTTTGTTGTGGGGTTACAAACGAGTGAGAATAAGATGTGGGGTGTTAGAGGTCCGTTCGGACTCTGGACCGAAGGGCCAAGAGTGACGGGAGCTCCTACGTGCGCTGAGTATTGAAACGTATGCTCTGTGTAGCTTTAGAGTTTTAGAGCCATGAAGCTGTTCGAGTGCTTAGAATGTCTAAAGCTAGCAGAGAGCGAGTCAGAATGATCGTCTGTTTTTTGTCCCTTGTTGGGAGAGGGCGCATCCCCTTTTATAGATGAAGGGGATAACCTTACAAGTTCAAGAGAGAGTGTGTGTGTGTGTGCTACCTAGTCTTGTTGCCCACGCCGTTGGGTACAAGACGGTTTGTCGACGTCCACAATACTGTTGACGCCTAGATGCATGTGGCAGGCTCCATCGTGTTCTTCCGGTATGGCAAATATCGGCGCCTACCATATTGTAGGAAAAATGTCGTCGCCCACAACACTGTTCATGTTCTGACATGTCTGAAAGGTTGCAAAGTACCCTTCTGGCACGGCCTGCCTGTACTGTTCTACAGGTGTGCAGGGTACGGTCCTCGGTATTGCGATTCACTTGAGCGCCTTGCCTTATCTGCTCTGCCTGATTCCTGGATCCTTACCGAGTGGGCGTCCCGGTCGGTCGTTCCCAGTCGGCTCTGACCGTGCCGGTCGGAGAAGAGCTATAAGCAGAGGTTCGGTGTATTCCCCGTCGAAGAAGCGGGTCGGAGTCGGAGGCAAGCGTCATCCCCTCCACGATAGGCCTTCCAGTCGGAGAAGCGGGTCGGAGTCAGAAGCGAGCGTCGTTAGATATCTAGGCCGGCCTAGAAGTTGCGCGTCATCTGTAATGCCATCTGCTGGGCTGAGATTTTGCTGGGAAGCGGGCCCATTAGGGACCCCGGGTTTATGAACCCGACACCATGCGACACCTATTTTAGAGAACCTGAAGATAGCTTGCCATCTACAATTGAAGCTTTTGCTTTACTGTAGTTTTTTATGCATATTGTATCTGCCATCTATAATCAAGTAATTGCATTTTCCCCCTTGCTCATAATGACACATGTGCTGCATTTCTACCAATTTAATATATATAATTTGAGTCCTGTTCTAAAAAAAGTGTGAACTCAAGTTCTATTCTGAAAAAATCTGTCAATTAACCTAACTAGTCCAAGCTTCGAGGAACATGTAGGTACCTAAGCAACATGTGCTTGCACTGCAGGTTCAAGCTCACTCAAAGTATTGGTTGCTAAGCAACATGTGCTTGCACTGCAAGTTCTAGCTTCTTTTTTGAATAGGGCATTTCACATGTTCTTTTTATTAGAAAATTACTAGGGGTATAAATGTGATCAAAATCTCAGGTCTTCACCATACAAACTACTGTATGTTGCTGCTCTTTTTAAATGGGCCAACAAGGAGCATACAACCAAGAAATGGGTTATATGCAACCTCAGGTGATTGACAAACTTAAGCATGTTAACTAATAAGCCACTTTAATAAGCCAATGACAAAACATCTCACTTATTTAAGCATGTTAACTTGACAAAACATCTCACTTGTCAGGATAGATCAAATTATGATGTGTGACCAACAATGATGTGGATGATGATTTGTAAAAAAAAATATGGGCATGTAGGTCCTAAGTCAACCAGTCGACACTAATTAGAGAGGTCTGTGTACATATTTGAGTCTAAGTTAATTCTTTTTAATGTTCCAGGGTTATGTTTGTCTGAGTGTCAATGTGGATGGTAATAGCTGCACGATTTCTGCTGGTGCTTTGAAAGGTTTATTGAACAGTATTTAGAATATCCAAGGTGACACTTTCTTGATTTTCTCTTAAGCTGTAAATTCTCTATGTTAATTTAACAGCACTTTTATGGAGCTTTTGTGATTGATAATTCATTTCTTAATTTGTGTGCCTATGAACCTATCATTACAATTTGGCCTTGTCTTATTAGCATTTAGATTTAGATTTAAAATAGATACAAGGAACCTATAGTCATCAACTAATTATCAAGGAACCTATAGTGAATTTAACTTGCCTAACTATTTTTGTTTTCTGGATACATGCATTAGATTACTGCCATTCACAAGGTATTATGCACCAAGATGTGAAGCCCCACAATGTTATGATAGATCATGAGCTTTGGAAACTCCGGCTGATAGATTGGCGGAAAAATGTACGATAAGGATGATTCTAGACTGAACCGCCTCTACAAACATGTATTATAGGGGCGGCTGGTACTACAGCCACACCTACAAATCAATTTTATAGAGGCGGCCCCTACAAATCGATTTGTAAGGACGATCTGGGAACCGCCCCTACAAATGCATGATTTGTAGAGACGGTATGATAGGAGCGGCTGGCCGAGCCGTCTCTACGAAGCCTCACCAGCCGTCTCTACTAATTCTGTCTGTGGTAGCGACGCCGCGTGTAATGCATTTGCACAATTACGAAAACATATATATATCTATCTATATAGAAATCTACTAGCAGATACTCGTCGTGCAGGGCAGATCTATAGTCATTCATCGAAGGAAATTTATTGGCAAGGAATCGAAAACGACGTACCGTTGGGATCTGACGTCGCAAAGTTTCGCCGCCGATGGAATCATAGCGCAGAGCAGCCCACGGAAGTTGTGAATGGAAAAAAAGGTTAAAACCGAGTTAGAACCAAACCTTGACAATACCTACTATCTTTCTTAAAGCCTAAAAGGAAAAGGCAACAAAAGTAGAGCTACCTACTTAGAAAGTTAGAAGTGACTGTTTACGAATCTAAACACCGGTAATTGGACAGAATATGTTCAACTTGGCGAACCTGAAGAAACTTCCTCAGTTAACAACGGCTACGTGGCACTGCACTGCTAGAGCGTGATAGACAGCACTGCCCTACTCTAGCTAGTAGTATGAACATAAACGAAATTTGAGATTTATTAGTTAAATAACGATGGAATGATTTAAACGTTAAGTGTTCAGACTTCAGAATCAACTCTTGATTTCTGTCGTGTGACGAGCATATCTGACATCAATGTTCTCGGTTCTCTGTTCCCAAGCATATATATACTTGAGCCTCTTGTAGCCTTGTTTCAAGGGAAATTTAACATCGATCTCACCCTAAAAAACCTCGGGTGGTTAATTTATCTGCATGACCTGTCTAGTTGTGCCTCGATCAGTGAGAGAACAACAGAATTGCCCGGAAAAAATTGAGGCTTTTTTGGACGTGGACCAAGGCAGCAAGTGTGTAGATCGAGCAAGGTTTATGTTACCATTGATCCAGTTCTTGCGAGGCTGGAAATGGTACCCTGTCCTCAGCAGGGGGTCGACAATGGAGGGCGGTACAGCGGCTGCCGCCGCCGCCTCCACCTCGAGGTTCTCGTAGTCGTAGACGACATGAGACGCCCCGGCGAGCTGCAGGAGCAGCAGCCATGCCCAAGCAACCTTTCCAAGCGCCCTCATTGCTAGCTAGCTAGCTCTCGCTTTAGCTAGGCACAGAGGTGTAGCAAGAACAAGAAGAGAACTGATGGAGGATGCCCGGAAGCAGAGGAGAGGAGGTTCTTTATACTGCATCGGCGATGGCCTGGGCGTCGCGCGTGAGAGGTGTGTGCGATCAGGAGGTGTGTCTTTTTGGTTGCCGGAAGTGAGAGCTTTGGGCCACCACCCACCAGTAACGCTCGCCGCTCGGTTCCCTCCATGCATAAATAAATCGTAGCATTGGAGGGGGTCATATCTTACTACAGCAATACTACCACGGTAAGCAGATTGAATGCTAAGGTGGAAGAGAGACAAGAGGAGAGATGAGAGTTGTAAGTTTATAGTCGGCTACCAAAAAACCTTATGAAAGATAAGTGGGTCATATATTAATAGTGAAGAGCTAGGTGAACTAAGAAAAAGCTACAGAGATCCTTATATCTGGTCTGCCAGCTGCATTATTAGCTTGCTCTTTTATATATATATATATATATATATATATATATATATATATATATATATATATATATATATATATATATATATAATATAAAGATAACCTGCGGTTTGGCGTCAGTGAGAACGATCCAGCTGTACAAAACCTACTTGATGACGCTGTGAATTTTCGGCGTGATCTCTCAGGTGAAAGTGTTAGACGTGTCAGTGCACCACCTGGCCCCATTTGGCTGGTTGGAGCGTGGAATCAAAGATTTTTTTTATTGGTTCTTAATTGTCACATCCTTTGCTTCGGATAGGTCCGTTTTCTTATTTTGGATTCGTCTTAAGTACTCAAGGCTTAGAGGTGCTAACCTGTGCAAGGTAGGGCGGATGTCGATGAGCTGTATGCTAATAGTAAGCGGGTGTTTAGCAGGACCTCTCGTGAGGGCCTCCTCTGTTTATATCACTGGAAAACGGTTCTTCCTACAAAACATTTGACAGGCTCCTCCAGAAAAGCCGGAGCCGAAGCCGGAGCCTGAGAGAAGCCCTACTACCAATACATCGATACTTGTTCATATTATAGGTGGATTTATTGCTACCTCTGATGGATCGATTTTAGTATAACCTGACAGACAAGTGTCGACTTGCGCCTAATTAAAAACAATCTTATAATAACTTGATTATAAATCAATAATTAATTAATAATATAAATCATCAACCCATGCTCCTGCCCATTACAGAACCCTTGAATACATATGCGCTGAAAGATTGCAATTGATATCTACAATTAATAAAATGAAGTTGTCATTGTAATCTCCTTTCTCTTCATTTTATGAGCGGGGGCGCTCATGGCCATGGGCCCATGGCGGTGGCGGGAGGTGGGAGGGAAAGAAGGAGGTCGCCGCGGGTGGTGGGCAGCGGAACGGTGGGCGGTGGGCGCGCGAGGAGGTAGAAGGTCGGGTCGCGCCTTAACCAGTTAGCCATGGTTGAGGGCGGCAATGGCGGAGGCGACCTTGGGCGGGGTGAGGAGACGGTTGGGGAGCACGGGGGAAGAAGAGAAGGCGTGCGTGAGGGAACTTTCTACCCCTGCAAGTGTAATAAAGTCCATATAATTATGCCCATTTGTTTACCTTTATTATTTTCGTCTGTTACCTTGGGAGTCAATTGGGCCAACGCCGAACTCCAGCTAGCTACGCGAGGTACACGTCAACTTTTGCTGGGTCTAGCTGAAATAAGTAACAGTTAGGCGTGCGGCTAAAAGAAGTGCCAGTGTATTCTCTCGGATATATAGGAAAAAGGCACCCTCAAGGAATCTTCCGACTTTCCGAGCACACCGTCAACTGGACCTGTTGTTCGTTCGTTGTCGTTGTCCTTCCACCGTGTGCATTCTCTCGAATCTTTAAATTCAGGGTGTAAAGTTTTAGAGCGTAACATTGGATATCATATGAGAAATTGTATGATGTATTCGGATACTAATAAAAAAATACATTGGATATCATATGAGAAATTGTATGATGTGTTCGGATACTAATAAAAAAATAAATTACAGAATCCGTCAGTAATCCATGAGACGAATTTATTAAGCCTAATTAATCCGTCATTAGCATATATGTTACTATAGCACCATATTATCAAATTATAGAATAATTAGGTTTAAAAGATTCGTCTCGCAAATTAGTCGTAAACTGTACAATTAATTTTTTTTAGTCTATATTTAATACTCTATATATGTGTCAAAACATTTGATGAGACAGGCAATAAACTTTTGGCCAACGACTAAACGAGGCCTCAGTTTCGGTCACTTCTCCAATCTTTTGATGCGACGTCCGTGTCCATTCCTTTCAGAGGTTCATGTGGTAGCTCGCACTAGCTAGGCTCTCTTTCCTTCCGCACAAACGCTAGCTCACCACCGGCCAACGGAAATGAACGAAAATGCTTCACGCTCACGCACTATATGATCGTTCAGTTCCTCACGCAAAATTTTGTCACCGTATATTTTCTCATGAGCCGTTTCCTGGCCTTGCAATTAAGAAGCACCAACACAATAACCATATCATATCAACACAATAACCATATCACCACCGGCCAACTGTTGGAGTTTGGCAAGAACTTCTTTGGAATTGTATATTTGAAACTTGGGATAATTGTCTAGCGGACATCCAAAGTGACGGTCGTTAGCTGATGGACACCCCGTTTTGAGCAGTTTGCTAGAAGACACTCTGGTTCGGTGAAATTAGGTCACATGACACCGCGGATCGGTTGCAGCCGGTTGAGGAGAAAGAAAATTTCGTTTTGGACATCCGGTACCCTGAACCACAGTTGGGTCCGCCCCTCTCCCTCTCACTGACGCGCGGGCCCCACCTACCATCTTCTTCTTCCTCCTTTTCTCCTCTTCTCTTCTTCCATTGCTGAGCAGCAGCCATCGTCGTCGACCAGCCTCGGCCACGCAGGCGCACGGACGAGCTGGCGAGCTGCCGTAGCAACGGCCATGCGGGCGCTGCTGCTGCAGGCGATAGGAGCACCGCGGCCCCAATCTGGCCATGGAGGGCGCTACCGCTGCAGAGGTTGCCGTGGAGGGCCGCCGCAGCCCCAGAGGTGGCCATGGAAGGCCGCCGCACCTCCCTTGCACCTCGTGCTCGACCACCGCCGCCGTTGCCGAAGATGCCGAGGTGACCATGGAGGGTGCCGCTGCCGCCCCCAATCGGGCCATGGAGGGCGCTACAGCTGGAGAGGCCGTCGGATCCACCAGTCGAGAAAGAGGCGGGGTGCACAGCCTGTGGCGGCCAGGAGCACCTCAGGCCACTCCTCCGACGGCAAGGGAGGAGAGGTAGGCCACGCGGCCACCGGGATGGAGGTGGACGACGCTCAACCTTAGGGAAGCGCTGCCGCCATGGAGAGCCGCTGTCGCCGTCGTGTGGATGAAGCAGTCGTGGCCCCGCGCGGTGCCGAAGCGGGCCGCCGGAGGCGTGGGCGTCGGAGGTGCAGCCGCCCGCGACGGCGTGATACGCGACGGCGGGTGCGGGAGGCGGAGAGGGTGGCGGGGACAGGAAACAGAAAAAAGAGAAAGGGAGAGAGGAAGAAGAAAGCGGCAGGGGCAAAAATGTTATTTCACCGCTGTTCTCTCTCCTCAACCGCCTGCAACCGGTCCGCGGTGTCATGTGGCCTAATTTCACCGAACCAGAGTGTCTTCTGGCAAACTGCTCAAAACGGGGTGTCCGCCAGCTAACGACTATCACTTTGGGTGTCCGCCAGACAATTGTCCCTTGAAACTTTGGGTACAACGTATTAGAAGCTGGGAGATTCACAGTTCTCCACTTTTAACCTTCATTGTGGTGCTCAAAGTTAGGTTGTGATGCAGAGAGGGTAAGTGGTTAGGAAACTTCACCGTAAAAAGTAATATCTATGTTTATATAATATTATAAAAAAGAAACATGTAATTGTTGATCACGTTTTTAGCACCACACCTCTTAATATTTCTTTTTGTAGAATGCTAGTGATGACAAACTACTTAAGTAGACAGGAATCGGTCATAAAAGTGACTTTTGTGCAACTCGATCAACAATTAGATTCTATTAATAGACCCTTACTAATAGGGATTTTCACTTTGCGAATGTATAAAGAATAGTAAACCAAATTGCAGTGCCTCTAAACAAATCATTATGGAAGCTCAAGTACCCCTAAAAGTTCAAGATATTTGTTTGGTTCTTAACAAAGGGGTGATTTTGACAAAAGACGATCTCCTAAAATAAAATAGGAAGGATGATGAAAAGTATTATTTTTTACAATAAAAGAATCATCCAACAATTGTTTTTGGAGTGTAACGTAGCATGATTTATTTGAAGGATTGTCCATAGAATTTGGCTTACAACCACCAATTGATATGACTTTTTTTTTCAAACATGGTTACAATAAATGGATCCAAAGGTATGATATGAATTTTTGTTCAAATATGGTTACAACAAATGGATCCAAAGCTACGATCTCAAATTTGAGTGGGAGCATGTGCTTTCTTTGTAGTTCATATGGTTTTGACAAAAAAAAACATTAATTATAGTCTTATTTACATGTTGTTTTTAGGCAACCTAGGGGATGCAGTTCTAGTCAATGCTTTAAAAGAAGTTGGACCAACAAAATTTGAAGTGGGTATACCGAGTGATGAAGACTACAACAATTCAGAATTTTCCTAAAAATAGGTAGAGGTCTTCAAATAGGCTAGAGCTTAGTTTGTTGCTAGTTTCATAGTCTTTTACACTTTTGTTGATTTCTTAGAGCTTCTCTTCATCAGCATCCTTAGTGGCCGAAACTTTGTAATAATAGATAGTTTTTTTCTCGAATACGCAAGAGGATTACGCATCATTGTATTAAGTAGATAGAGTTTAAAAATACAAAAGAGTTCCGGCATTAAGCCGGTTACAGATTTAAAAGGCTACATCTTGAAGGTGACAACCATGACAACTGAATAGCATAGCCCTTTGTCGCCAAATACTCGAGGCCATGTGCCCCGGCCTGAGTCCAAGTATCTGTCTCTGCCTTGATCACCGGCATCAGCT